TACCTGAATTTCGATGAGGATCATCGAGTAAGAGTAGGCGAAAGCAATGTCTCCAAGAGCTTGGAAATTCCTCCAAACTTTTTGGGATTGAGTGGCGGTTCCTGAGCTGATTCCAGTCAAATTGCCTTTGATTTTCCCAGTTTCTAGAACAAACAAGAACAGGGTCAGAATCTCCAAGAAAAACATCAAAGAACAGAGGAACAGAGATGTCGGAAAATTTACCGGCGACTCGGGAAACTCCGAGGCCGAGTCCTATAGCTGAGTAAGTAAAAGACATGACAGCAGCGACAATGGAGAGCCACCATAGCTGATCAAAATCTGGAATTTGTGATAAAATTATCTCAACAATTCCAAAAGCAATCATATACGGATTGCTATTGATTGGGCAAGGATCTTTCCCACCACTTGCATGGAAGCAATTTGACCTTTTAATTGCCCTGAAAATTTCAAATCCCCTGAGAACATCAGAAATGAACAAGAACAAGAAGAAACAGCTTTTAAAAGTTCCCTCACATCATGCTTATGGCTGAAGCTATTGTAGACCCAATTGCAATTCCGAAAAGATTCAAGTATTGAACAAACCCACATATTTTCACATTAAAACCGCCTGTAAATCAGAAAAAACAGAGCATATAAGGTTAAGGCGGAAAATTCTTGAATCATTCTTGACAATTAAGGATTTTACTCACCGAAATTGGCCTGAACGGCATCCATATAAGTGTAGTTTCTCTTGCCGGAAACAGGGTCACCGGACCGGTAACAGGCGGAGAGAAAAAGGGAAGTGTAATAAGTAACTAATGCGAACAAGAACATAGCCAACGGACCGGCGATCCAGCCGAGCTGCGCCGTCGCCCACGGCAATGAAAGAACGCCGGAGCCAATAATAGCTGTAATAATGTGAGCACTAGCTGTCCAAACATTCCCTGTTTTTTCAAAACAAAAACACCATAAGACCCTGTTTTTTTAAAGAAACAGAGGAATCTGTTTTAGCTGTCTGAAATGTTATACCAGTTCGCTTTAGCCGGCCATCGTCATCAAAGCACTTGGAACCACCTTGTGGAACCGCCGCCGTGGAAACACCAAAAGCTTGATTCTCAGCCATCTTCAAAATCAAACGACAACAGAGGAAAATCAACTGTTTTTTCTCAGACCCTTTTTGGTTAGCGTTTCAGAGTGTCTGAAAAAACAGAGCTCCAATGTTTTTGTTTTGGGGAAGAAGGAGATGGGTGTTCGTGTTTTATAGAGAAGAAGAGGAACAAGAAAGCACGTGCTGTTTACAGAAAGCTAAGGGAAGGTGAACCGAGTGGGTCTGTTGACGGTCGATTTACCTTTCTCACCACTTTTGACTCCCCATGTGAGCTTCCTTTGAAGCTGCAAAATCCTTCCACGTTTCGGGGAAAAAACATTTAAAAAAAAAAAAAAAACAATTTTTATAATTCTCGCCACTCGTTTAGCAACTAGATTTGTTCGATCATACACGTCGTCCCGGCATGCACGTTTGTTCGTTGCTATTAGATGAAAGTGTCCCACATCGGTTAATTTAAGGAATGATCATGGGTTTATAATTAAATAATACACTCTCCATTGGTGAGACCTTTTGAGGAAGTCCAAAGCAAAGCCACGAGAACTTATGTTCAAGGTGGACAATATCATATACTATTATGCTCAAAGTGAACAATACCATATCATTGTGGGGAGTCGTGTTCATCTAACATGCTATCAGAGCCATTTTGTTCGAGGGGAGGTGTTCACATCAGTTAATTTAGGGAATGGTCAGCCATGAGAGTTTATCCTCAAAGCGGACAATATCATACCATTGTGCAGAGTCGTGTTCGTCTAACCATTGCGACCCTAACCCATTAGTCTCTACTCTGAGCCAAAATCCTTCGAACATAATATTGCATCTCATTTTGTGGTCGTGATAAGTTCTATCGTAAATATGTTGATAAATTATTTTAAAATTAAAATAGCAACGTTTATTTAAATTTAAATTTGAGGTAAAATTTAATGAAAATTGACAGAAATTTTGTGCCATATTCACTTTGATGGCAGCCCCTTCCATGGCCATTTAAGTTGTTTGGAGCTTTTTGTTTTAAGTTTTGGATAAAATATAGTGACAATGTTTTGTCTGTTGACTTTTTTGGATCATTTAATGATCATTGGCTTGAATTATTAGGTTTTCATTTAATAAATCATAATGTTGGTTGAATAATACCTATAATCGTTTATTTGACTTTATTTTTTAATATAATTTAAGTACCCAAATATTCGTAAATTTCATTATATACTTATTTAAATTAGGTTGAATTTAAATAAATAAAATATACATATTTACTTTAATATAATTATATATGTATATATATATATATATATATATATATATATATAATTTGATAATTATTTATTTTTCAATATATATATTAAAATTAAATCGCAAAATTTAATTAAATGTGTAAAAATAAATAAATAAATATTTTACAAATTAAAATTTTACTTTTTATTAAAAATAAAAAATTTAATAAATTACTTAAATAGCTAGAATCAACCCAACTAGTTGTTTAAATTAAAAAAAGTTTACAATAAGAACAATTGAGTTAGGTCTAAAAAATGCCTGTACTCAGCCAAATCCAACCCACTGGTAATAATTTATTTCTTTATTTTTAACAAAGAATGTTAAGAATGGTTGGGGAATATGGGATTTATCCAAAATTAGAAGGTATTCTCTTACGTAAAAGAATAGATTCCTTTAAAAAGCTCGTTTTGGACGGCCAACATCAGACATAGAATATGTACCTTCAAACAAAAGATCAGATTTTCGAATTCTCCACTCTGACATACTTATATATCAATCAACGACCAACTGTTATATAATTTACATCACTAATTATCTTTTCTTTTTTTTTAAAGAAGAAGTCAATAAAGTTAAATCAGGTCGGTTTAAGAAAACGAGTTTAGAAAGTGGTACCGACCTTATGTATACAAAAACGAATTTAGAAAGTGCTATCGACCATGCTAGAACTCGTTGATCTAATCCAAGCTCGCATCTAAGAATCTATCGATTTAGAATCTTAATAAAATATAACTTTAAACAAGAATAATGAATCTCAGAATTTAGTCTTATTGTTAATTTGAATGAGTCAAGATATTCGTTTGGACAATATATTAGTTATGAAATATATCTTAAATATTTAATATTTTTTACTGATTAATAGTATATTTTATTTTATTTCTAAGAGAGGTGAAAATTCTATTTAATTTATTTTTTATTTTTTAAATTTTAAGCAATCTCCTTCCATCATTAATTAATTGCATATATTATTATTATTATGTTATTTTTACTGTATGTAAAAAGTAATTAATAATTATTGCCCATGTAAGTAAATTCCCATAGGTTCATAATGGGAATCATATTCCCACTTTTTAGAAATCCCAGAAGTGGGGAAAACAGTGGATTTAATCCTTGAAAAATAAGGATTTTCCCCAAAAAAAATTCTTCCTTTTTTTGGTAATTTTCTTATTTTTAGATGTATTGAGTGGAAGAAAATAATTCACTCAAAGATTAAAAAAAATTATAATATTTTTAAATAACTTAATAATTAGAGAGATTGACAAAAAAGTTACTCGAGAATACGGAAAAGATGGACAAATTAGGTAATAAAAGTCCCATGGCAATCTTCAAGGGTCACTCGAACCCTATAACACTATAATTGTTATAGGTATTGGGTAGGATTAAATGCCCGTGGACCTGCTCTCCACATGTTGTCCCCCTTAGACCTATGTGAAGTGAACGAATAAAGGACAAATCTTTTGGTGTGGTTTCTTGAAGAGTTGACATATCTAGCCTATCGGACTTCGTACTAACCGAGTTTAGGTATATATCCCTCATTTTCTTATTTCTTATTGTCATCATGTTTGGTTACGACCGAGGCATGGTGAGAAAAAAATGATAAATATAAGAGACTTATTAAATTCATATAAGGTATGGAATACTGTACGAGCTTAGCTTGATACCATTTCGGTCCAAGCATTGACTTAAGCATTAGAGAGTATCGGGCACAACCCTACATCAATGCAAGTATCTTTCTTACAAGTCAGTTTTGATAAGACAAATCATAGCTTGAGCCATGAGACCCACCATCTCAACTACAATAAGTCAGCTCAAGCACCAATTCATCTTTGGTTAGGGCATGTTAGCCTTAGTCAACATCTCGACAAGATTAAGTCAACTCATGTGACCCGGTACCTTGGCTAGGATAGATTAACCCGAATAATTGATCTGTCACCTCACTGTTGTCGGGTCACATTACTCGTTACCTCAATTCGAAGCAAATATTTAATCATGATATATAATTATTTTATTTCTCGATATTTTAACGTCCTCTAAACTTTGCTTACATTATTTTAGTTCTTTAAAAGCTCATATTAAATTTAGCGGATCAAAATGAAATAAATAGAAACCGTGAGTATTTTGAATAGTCAAATTCCCACTTTCAATAATAGAATAAGATACCGTATATATTTGCTCTATCTTACCCAATTTCGCTTTTTTGAAGGAATATTTATCGATATTTATTTATTATTCATAATTTCTTAATAATAAACTGAAAGATGAAAGAATCTAATTTATTTATTTATTATTATTATTATTATTTTGTTAATATAAAGCATCGTTAAAATAAATAAATAAATAAATAAAAATATTATTTTAAAAATTAATAAATACGATAAATGATAAATTATTATTATTTTTTTTTTTTTTTTTTTACGTTTGAAGTGTGTTTATTGGTAGGTAGGCAAAAGTCGTGGTTGGTGCTGAGATGATATCACATATGTACCACACCACATCTTATTCAAGCACGGTGTTAGGTTTTTTTTCTTGATTTAACTTGTCATTTTCTTTTATAAAACACGTAAAAATGTTTAAAAAAAACTAACTAGCGATTTTATTTTTATTTTAAAAATATTTCATTATAAATTTAAGAATATATTTTTTTTATAAGAAAAAATGGTTAGAGAAAACAAATCTATTATTATTATGAATTTAAATAATTAAAAAATGAATAATTTATTGAAGTGTAATAGTTTAATATTATTGGGTCAAAGGGAAGAGTTTGGGTTAAAGTAATTAATTGATAAAGTAATAGGGGTTAATGGGTGTGGGGTCACAGTTAAAATTTTGGTGTACACGTGGCGAATCCTCCAATATTCAAATGTATCCCTAAAATTCTTGGTGGTTAGCATTAGGTCTTTTCATGGTGAAAGAATCCAATCTTTAATTTATTAATTAAGCTTTAAATATTAGGGTTAAATTCTAACCCTAGTTAACATTTTGTTCTTTGTACGGACTTCATATTTATATTTGAAATAATTTTACTGATTATTATTTGTCATGTTTAGCACAGTAAGTTAGAAAGTTTGTTTGCCATTTCCACCCCCCACTAATTTAGTGCATTACAAATAGATTCCAAAGTAGTTTCATTTATTCATTTATTTTAAATGCCAATTTGAGTAGAACGGTAAAAGAATAGTTTTAAAAAAAACTGTCTAAAAAAATATTCTTAAATTTAAATTTTTTTAAGATATTATCGATAATTTTGGAGGAACCGATAACATTTATTTTAAAACCTTTTTAAAATTTAGGGAGGTTTAAAAAATTCGAATGAATTTTCAAAAGTAATATTAAAAAATTTAAAAATAATATATGAGATGTCGATAGCATTTTCATTTTCATAAAGGTAAAATATATTAATTCTATTTTTGAAATTAAAGTATTTTTTTTAGATTTTTTATAAAAAAAAATTAGGAGTATTATAGAAATTTTGAAAGTTTTAAAAAGATATTTTTTCTAGACAAATAATAAAGTTTATAAGTATTTTTATTAATTTAGCCATAATAATAAAAAACTAATTAATTTTTTTTTCTAAAAATTATATTTAATTACTTTTCAATAAAATTCAATTATTCAAATTGTAAATTTTTTAATCAAATAAATAATAAATCCAATTCAACTATAAATATAATTTTTTTTAAAGTTGAATTAGTTTGAGTTGTTTAGGTTATTTATTTAAATTTTCAGTTAAATAAAAATAAATTTTAATTGATAAAATATCTACTTATTTATTTTTAAACATTTAATTAAGATTTACAAATTATTTTTATACTTGGATAATAAATAATTAAAAAATAATTTAACTTTTTAATTTATATATATGTGGTAAACAAAAACTTTTTAAATTTAACAATAAATTGGATTTAAAAAAAATTGATAAACTATAAAACGACATGTCGACCATGGAAATAAAGCCAAATCTGGAGACGGGATTTTTAAGTTGAATATTAAATTAACAAAACCTTTTTAAAAAATATACTTTGAGAATAATATATATATATATAGATATAATTAGACTTATTTTGTGTGGTTGTTGGACTGTTATAGGTTCCATTATTTGCGAATTTTCTCGGTGGAGACTTAAAAGATATTATTTAATTACTGATTAAAAAAAAAAGCTTTCATGAAATTAAATTATAATTAAATATTTGATGAAAAGTGTTACATTAATATATTCATAAGCTATAAGAATATTTCTGGTCATTAGTTGTAGATTAGGTTAAATTCTCAACTTTATGAATTTGTGGTTTATGTTACAAATTCTATGTTATTTATTATTTTACAATATCTTATTATATTTATATTGTGAAGATATGTGGAAGACTGTCTCTAATAAATGGTATCAAAATCGTTCCCCTAACTTAGCAATGTTAATAGAATTCTCGAGTAACAAACAAACAGTGGTGAGACTAATTAAGAGTAAGATGAATATACGACTATTTGATGGAAGATTCGGTGGCTTGACTGGAATACTCGGGCTTGATCCACTGCCAAGGAAGCTACTCAACTCCAAGTTATTGACACTTAAAAGTCGGATGGTTAACATATACTAGTTGACCAAAGTGAGACTAGTTTAGCCTATAAAATAGGTCAAACCCGACATGTGAACAAAGAAAGTCAACTAAATCTCGATATAGCAAAGCTTAAATGGTTAGTATTACATCGTATCTGTATCTGAAAGTTAATATTGCAGGTGTGGCTCGTATACATTTCATCCTAACATTAGTGCTTACGAATGTTTAAAAATATATATGACAAATGACAACTAACCTAACATGACTCGTGTGATTAATTTAAAATAGATTAATTTATTTTTTAAATAACTCGTTGTCTTCTCCGTTGAATGTTAGTATCTCATTAACGGGTGACGACGATGCATACTCAATAATTTAATTATTAAGTTAGATCAAAATTTTGACTTTTTGATAAGTTGATCTAAGTATTATATATGAAAAAGATTTGGGACCCAAAAAGAAATTATTTATTGAAGAATAAAATTAAAGGAAATTACTTTATCAACCCTCAGCATGTTTTTTGTGTGGTGCAAAATAATAATTACTCTATTGCCCCCATTAAAAAAATTGTACTCAAAAGAAATTCAAATTTTCATGTCCACTTTTCGGTCAAAGTATATTTATTTATTTAAAAGGGAACCAATATTTTTTAAAAAAAAAATAAATAAATAATGTTTTGAGAAGGGGAAATAAAAAATATTATTTTGATAGTGTGAAAGAAACAAGGCATTTCTCATCGTTGGCAATTGGAGTACCAATCATTGGAAAGTTAAATAAATTTAATTCGTTGGAGTTTTATTTATTTATTTATTATTATCATTTTTTAATAATAAAGTCGTGTTGGAATAAAATATTTTAAGGGGGGGAAATAATTGAAATAAGTTTTAAATTTAAACTTTTAATTGTCTATAGTTTATGCATTATTAATTGTTTTCTTGGATGAAATTTCTAGAAATAAAATATAGTTTTAGTTTTATTTTAATATTTATATGTTTCTAATTTTCAAACTTTTTGTTCGTTTATTACTATTTTGTCACATTCGCTTGTATCATACTCGATAATAATATAATGTTTATTATAGTATGCTAATCTACCGGTTTGAAATTATTATTTCTTTATTATTATTATAAATTTACAGGAGAAAGAACAAAATATTTATCTTTTAAAAAATTTAAGGAAGGAAATGGACTTTCTAAATAATAAAAGGGCAAGAAACAAAATAATATAAATTAAAAAACAATTGAACAAATTTAAAAGTAAATTTTTTAAACCAAATATTATCGTACCAAAAAAAAAATTATATATATTTGTTATAAGAAAAATGTCAACCTCTGAGGTTGTGAGGTGGGGTCAATTTCGAATATATTTGTTGAAAAGTCAACTGCATCTATCTGAACATTAATTATTTAACTGTTTGTATGTCTGTTGGTACAACCAAGCGCTTTGTCCTTATTGTTATTTATTAAACTATGTAGCCCTAATAAAAATATATCCAAATCAAATAATTGAATGAGATGATGTTTTTGTTACCTATAATATATTTCACCAATTGCTACACGATATTGACTATCTTCACACGTCAGCATCATATGTCATCCCTTGAAACGTACCGCTTTGGATATCTATATAGGCATTCCTTAATCTAAATACTAATAGAACTCGTCGTCTTTGCATAAACAAATCTTGATTTAAGTTGTGGTTGAATTTCATGAAGTTACTTGTAAATTGTTCATTTCCAATGAGCCTATTTTAACTCATAGAACGCAAAGACTCGTTGATTAATGTTAAAAGATTTACCGTTAAGATAATTTCTGACAATCGGGCCAAATTATACCTAAGAGGGAGAGAGACATCGGAATTAAAAGAAAGTTAAAAATGAAGAATATTTAAAGATTAAAAAAAGTTATCTTTTATTATCTTCTCAATAATTGTATAATCAAATTTATGAGGAAAATACTCAAATTTTTTTAAAATCCCAAAGCAAGTTAGTGAGCATTATCTAATTTATTATATTATTTATAATTAAAAAATTTCGTTTTTCACAGAAGATCAAAATGGCTGGGCCCAACTGATCCATTTAGCCCAATGCCTTCGCGCAAATGGTAATGCCTATTGGGCTTTTTCAAATTGGGCTTTTTCAGATTTGGGCAGAAACAAGCTCTATAGCCTAAAAATGGATGTGATATTCTTATTATTTCAATTTTTGCAAAATATTTTTTTAACCTATTCCTCAGTATTAACATATTTTAAAATGTGGTAATAGTCACTTACTATTTTATTCCCTGTTTAAAAACATTTTTATTCTATAAAAAATTAATTTTATATTGATTAAAAAAAAAAAAAAAAAAAAAAAAAGCTCCTTAGTCCTATTTAATAACCATTTTATTTTTTGGGGGCAAGAACAGAGGTAGCTCCCAATGATGTGTTCTTGATGACAAAAAGTATTAAGAAAAATGGCAATGAAGTTGGGAGAGAAATTTTTCTGTTTAAACTCAAATGAAATAGCCTTTTTCCTTGAAGAATTAACAGCAAACTATATATCAGAACCAACCAACAACCAGCAAACATACATAATATAACATGAAGTTAATAAGACTAACCAAATATGGGAGTCGTAGCTGTTGTTGCGGTTGTCGCCCGACACGTAAACATGGCCTTCTGGAACTTGCTGCCAGTTCAGGACAAGCAAAACTAAGTACAAATGAGAAACTCGATGTCGCATTCAATAGGAAACTAACATGATTTTAGTCCCGGAGGGGGGGGGGGGGGGG